GGACTTAGAATCTCCTACATTATCTAGTGATCTTTACACAATGTGTTGGTACCACAACTACAGTTATGACATTTCACTGTTGCAAATACTGTTCCTATGCTCCAAATTAGTTCTCAGTGAAAAGTAACTCAATTTTTGAAGGTACTGGGTACAGCAGTGTCCAGCAACTTCTCTCTACAGGAATTGCTACTTGTTGGCAATGTTAAATTAGCATTAATATTGGTACAGAATCACGGAATTGTCAGAGTTGGAAGGGACCTCTAGAGATCACCTGGTCCAATTCTCCTGCTAAAGCAGGATTGCCCAGAGCACATCACTCAGGATGGCATCCAGGCAGTCCTGAGTGATGTTCTCTCCAGAGAAGGAGACTCCACACCTTCCCTGGGCAGCCTGTTCCAGTGCTCCGTCACCCCCACCGTAAAGAAGTCTTTTCTCATATTTGAACAGAACTTCTTATGTTCCAGCTTGAGCCTGTTGTCCCTTGTCCTGTCGCTGGAAACCACTGAAAAGAGTCCGGCTCCAACATCCTTCAACCCGCCCTTTAGATACTTGTAAACATAAATAAGGTCTCCCCTCAGTCTTCGCTTGTCCAGGCTAAAGAGCCCCAGCTCCTTGAGCCTTTCCTTGTAAGGGAGGTGCTCCAATCCCTTAATCATCTTTGTTGCCCTTCACTGGACTCTCTCCAGTAGTTCCCCGTCCCTCTTGAACTGGGGAGACCAGAACTGGATGCAGTATTCCAGTTGTGGCCTCACCAGTATAGATTAGAGAGGGAGAATGACCTCCCTCGACCTACTGGCCACACTCTTTCCTATGCAGCCCAGGATTCCATTGGCCCTCTTGGCAACAAGAGCACATGGCTGGTGCATGGAAAGTGTGCTATCTACCAGGACTCCCAGATCCTTTTCCTCAGTAGTGCTTCCCAGAAGATCCATCCCTAACCTATATTGGTGCCTGGGGTTCTTCCTCCCCAGGTACACCTTAATTATAACAAGTTAATACAACCAGTAAGTTTATAATCAACAGCCAGAACAGGAGACATCATGGATGAAACTAGCTTGAGTTACCAGGCTCATTGAGCTTCACTCTGAACCTTTGGACAGTTACAGAAGTCCATAAGCAAAAACAGGCTGGTGCACTGTAAATTTTGGGCTGATTTAAAGACTGAAATGTCTCTTTCTTAATAAATAGAGATCTATTCCTCTCAGTTTTTTTACCTTTTATCTATTTGATGGCAAAATTAGAAATGACAGTGTGAAAATTCATCCACGTGAGCGGAACAATTCTTCAGATGGGTCAGAGGAACTGTATAGCAGCAGTTTCCTTGAGCAGTGAGAAGCACCTGGAAGCGGCTTACAGTTATGCCAGTTCCCATGGCGCCTGTTAAGGATAAGATGGCACTAAAAGCAGGTCACAAGTGAACTACTTCACTTTGTGAGAATTGAGCCCTAAACAATTAAAGTAGAGCCGCTGGAATAACTAGTGTGTGAAGAAGAAATGAAAAAGGTTAAATATTTGATGGAGTGGTGTCAAAGCATCCCATTAGTATTTTGCCCCTGCTTCATGGCTTTTCTGAGAAAACTTGTAAGCTCAGCAGCAGCACTTCAGTAGCACCATTGGAATACATAAAAGCAATCTAGTGAAACTTGTGACCAGAAAATCTGCATGAAACTGAGAGCAAGAGGTAAGTGAAATAGAAGTTTTCAACTTTTACAATTTGATCATTCAAAAATGGGGCAGTTCTATGGTTTGCATCAATCAAGGTAATACCCTAAACTTCAAGCTCCCTCAACTTCTTAACTTTACCCACTCATACTCTGGTGTAGTTACTAAATGTCTCACCAACAACTGCTAACTTTTACAGTGTGAATAATCCATGCTTCAGCAATGGAACTTAGATTTAAGAGTTGTTGCTGCGAGCACAAGACAGTCTATGAGCATGGTAAGCATTGCAGTCCTGCAAACAGGTATGACTCTCCAGGCACTCATTTGAATTGGCAGTAAAGTCACACTTTTAAGTTGTGGGTTTTTTTAATTCATATCTATAGTTCAATGTAGGCAAATAGCAGGTCTGCTATTAACTGTGACTTTACAGGGGGGAGGCAATGAAGACGACCTTTGGCAGCCCTCATTCCTGGGCCAGAAGGTGGTGGTTCTGTCTTCCACACCAGGCTTTTGGGACCTAGCCAAAACTAACACTGCAATCTATTATGTGCTATTCTTTGGATGAGATGTTTTAGATTTGGGTTCATTACTACAGATCTCACGAAACATTTTGAAAACAGATGGGGATAACCAATGCTTTCTGGCCAACATATCCTCTATCACACAACATGACTGCAATATACCTTCTGTCAACAGAAATAGGATGTCATGCTGAAATCCGTTTTACTGGCCACTGCTGGTCAGATCATAACTGTCACTCACGACAGTCTCCTATCACTGTCGCTCTACCTCTACCGACTGATTCCCTCAAGAGATACTGTATGATTTCAGACAAACTTCATTAGAGACTATAGAGTAAGCAGAGTCCTTATTTTCTCTTTTGAACTATCTGCCATCTCATTTTGAGCTAAGGCAAGCAGGCAGCACGTTAGCTGCTTAAGTTAACATAACCAAGTATGCAGCTTAATTTGCTTCCAGCTTTGCACTAGCATTTTTTAGATAAATATTATTTTTAAAATCATAAAATACAAACAATGTAAGACTTTTCTAATAGTCTAGAAATACCTATGGCACAACAAAACCAATTATCATGTGATCAAATATCTTGCTGAGTAGTAAACTTACTTGGAGGTTTCTTTTATGCTCCACAACAGGGAATTTCACACCGCCCTAAACTAGAAATCTTTTTCCATAACCCAATAATTTGGATTCTTTTCATTTAAACATTAAAAGCACCGTATTGTCGCTTCATCTAGCTATACTGAAAACAGAGGCACAAGAAAATCTTCCATGCATAACTTTGGTGACTTTGATACCTCTATTTCTACATGAAACTATAAAACCACCCTTCCCCAAAAAACATTCTTTAAAAAGAAGACAGTAATCATTTTCCTGATGGCATATACAATATCTCCTCTTCAGTTCTGCTTACTTTTTCACAGGATGAGGAAGATACCACGAAATATGAAGCATGAAAGGAAGGGACAAGAAAATCCACATCACAGACAAAAATCTGCATGATTTTGCTAGGAATAATGGACCAAGTCCACCAAATAACTTTTGAGAAGCAGCTAGAGTTCAAGAAATTGCCTTCTTTTCAACATGCACTCAAATGAAACAGTATTTTCACAACTGTGAAGTATGTAATTTGTTCTACGCTTCTTTCCATATGCTTATATGCTTTCTCTCTAGAGACAAGTATAAAACTGAGATTCAGTATAAAACAATACATGAAACACCATGAAAAAGAATCAACTGCTTGCCAACATCACAGAATGAACAATTCTTCAGATCAATAAAAGAGATAGTTGTGTAGGTTGTTACGTTATTTTAGATACCTTCGGGCCTGATTGTGGAGTTAATTGGGTTCAAGGAAGTGCCACAAAGTATAGGTGGTATCTGTCAATAATAACTGTTGCTAAAAGCAGGGAGATGTTTCAGAAGTAAAAATACAGACTAGATATTCCAGGAATGTTTATTTATCTACTAAGAATACAAAAATATTTATGTACTTTTATACCTCTGTAGCAGATGTCATATCATTTCTGATTAAAATTGCTTGCGAATAATAGATTTCTGTCAGGCACAGATTAAAATCAGCTTCCATAGCTAATTCCACAAACTAAAAATATCCACTGCATTTGCCAAAATGTCCTCCATATTTGCTGATACAAATAGGTAGACAGACACAAATAGGACATCAAGAACAGAAATTTAGAAGACACAAGTATTCTGAGTATCTTCTGAGAGCTTGTTCATTTAGAGACCCCACTACCTATGGATAATTTATGTGTGCTTATTCCAGCTACTACTGACTTAAAATATTAAGACAGCTCGCCAACCTCAGTAAAGAGACTCATAGGCTTGAAAGATGGGATACAGCAAAAAGAACAAGCCCGCTGAGCACACCAGATGAAAAATTTATAATTTTAATATCTTTGTATTTCCATATTCTATGTTCATCAGAATCCGAAGCTCGGAATAGCAGTTATTTTATTTCTTTTCTGCCTCCAGGTATACACCCAGGCATCAAGCTGATAGGTTGCTTCATATAACACCAGCTCTCTTATCACTCCAGATAATTTATTTATAATGAGAATCATATGTTTTCCCAGTAAGATGTTGATGCAATATGACTGCCTTTGCAGTTTCTAGAGGTGTATAATTGTTAAATGGATACAAATATTGATAAAACACCATTCTTTGCATGAGAACAAATGCGCCATACAAGGAGGGTTTTCAGTGATGAAATCCTAGGAAATAAATTACACACCACCTGATTTTTCAACCCGATGCAATATTCCCTCAATATTTAAGGTCCAAATGGCTGAGCAGCTTTAGACTTTTCACTTCTACATTAATTAACCTATTTGCAATAACCTGGAAGTCCTTCACTATTTATGAGTGCTGTTTACTTGGCTTAGCTCCTGGAGAATGGGCACTGAGGCTGAATTTGGAACTTAAGTTTACAGAAACGCCGAGACATGTTAATTCCATGCATTAAACCATAATGTATAAAATGGTCCTCTGCCATAATAAATGCACAATCTATGCACGCGGTCATGCCAGATGTTACACCACGTGATGGGAGAAACTAGGGTGTTAACTAGAGAATGGGTCTTACTGCAGAGCACCTCTGCACATGAGACTGTACTTAGATGTGCATGGACCATTATCAAGTACAGGTTAACTCCTGGCAGAATCAGGGCCCTGCACTAGAAGTAAAAAGCACTGGAAACAGTCCAGGTTGCCTACATGAATATGATGCCAAGGAAGTATTAAGAATCATACCTCACATTACAACAATTTAGAGAACTGAACACAAATATTTCACTTACAGGTTGCTGGAAGGGAAAGACACCAAGGCATCTTCTGAGAAGCATTTAGTAGATGGGAGTCAAGTTGTATCAATCAGATTAATGACTGCAAAAACAAAGGAAAACAAACAAAAAAAGGGCTGTCTGCATGTGAAGGCACACTTACAGTTAGCATAACCTTCCTTAGGGGAAAACACATTTCAAATTCTGTGATTCTGTTAAATTCTCAAAATATGTCAAAAAAGAATTTTATAACTTTAGAAGTTCCATTTCAAAGCTTTCTTTTAGACTAAGCCCTATGCAGAAGAACACTTTTTCACTCCAGAAGTCAAGTGGTACACTTGAAGCTTTGGTCTGTGCCCAAATGACTTGGCAAGACGAAATTCAGTGATAATGAAATTTCACAGATTTACAGATATCTTGAAAAGAGCAGAAGTAAGTTTAATATTATCTCCAGGACTTAATTACAGCACTGAAATATTTTCATTTAAAAAAATTTTTAAAATTATGAAGAGGCAGAAATTGTTCACAGGATTGAAGTCGTATCAAAAGACAACTATAAAGAAGAGACCTTCCCAGCCCTCCAAAAATGATGTATTTGTTTGAACTGATGATGTCAGTAATTATATTTCAAAGTAAGTTTCAAACATCTAAAACATTCACACTTGTAGGTAAGAAACAGTTAACTGAGACCATTACAAGGTAGCTCTGCAGTAATTAGCAATGTGCTTTAGAACTGCTTAAACACGTCATGATGTCCTTACCAGAGATTACTCCCAAAAGATGAAGAAGTGCAGTCTTATAGGTAGCGAGTAATTTAGGATCAAAACCTAGCAATGAAGGAGTCAAGACGGGCAACAAATTATCCCCAACACTTACCATACTGTTGAGAATGTACGAAAGTTATGAAGACTTCTTATGTGCAAAACAATGTGATAAAATAAAAACAGTTAAACCTTCTTTAACCATTTTTATTCCTAAAATCTTGAGTTTAGCTATATGAGATAATCTACATCTACAGCAACCAAGAAACGAGAATAACATTTTCTCTGTTTGAATTTCAAACAGCCTATGACAGTTTCAGAGTCTCCCTCTAAAGAAAACTTTAAAATCCATCTGTTCTGATGAGCAAAAATAAATAAATAAAACCCTAACCCTTTTCACATTCCAAGCATGTCTGTTAACTTTCTCTATTAACACTCTTTGGATAGAAATAGCATATAGAATGCGCAAGAGCTAATATTGGAGAAGCTAAACAAAAGCTGTAATCAGATTTTAAAACAGACAATATAAAGCACTGTAATTAACTGGGTTGGAATAAAGTGGTCTTTATTAGTGCAAATGAGCTCATCTGCTATAGGAAAGAATATTTCACAATCTAATCCAGAATGTATTGACATCAGCCAAACATTTACATTTCTTCCATGGACAGATTGTTATTGACCTTGTGATGTGACATATCTACTGTCACTAAGCTACAAAATGGGAATCTCATCCTGCCTCTCCTCTTTTATATACAGAAAGCAACTAATTTGTCAGCATGCCAGCTTTAACTAGCTGAGATGAAGGTAAGCTAATTTAATAGGAACTGTTCAATAGCTTCGACCCACCTGACACTGTCAGTTAAGGCAGCTCCACATTGCAGTGTCTTTCATTATTTCCAGCTCTTTCTTCAGATTACTTTAACAGCAAGTCAAATAATATGCTTTGGAGTCAATAGGCCTGACTTTTTCTCAAGGACATTCTTTTGATGCCAGGAACTGTCAAGTGGGAAAACACGTAGCGTGAAGGTGAGAGGACACTAATTAAATATACATAGCTCTGGCCAAAGAAGAATGAGGCACAGCTTGCTATCTGAAAACTCCGTTGCCTGCTTGACTGAGGTCACAGCTGTTGACTTGTACAAGTTAAGTTGCGGTCTCAGTATGAGATGCTTAAACACTCTTGAATACTAGACAAGGCTGTCTTCAAGGATTCTGTGTACAGTCATATGTACTTTTGTCGTTTAAAGACAGATGTAATAGAGTCCTTATTTAAGTTCAGCTAAAATGAATAATGTATCTTTTGTCTATCAGACTTTGAGGTATTATGGTATTTCCTGAAGCTGGGGAAGAATCTATGCTTGTTACAACGACTGATATTATTAATCATGTCCATGCAGTAACTGACTTTTTAAAGGCCTATTTCAAAGCATGATTCTAACCAGAATACCCCTTCAGTTAAAACTGGCTACAGTCAAGAGCAATGTGTTTACATACATGCATTTGGATTATTTCAGAGAGGTAGGTGCGCATGTTCCCAACCATGTCAAACACTTTCAGGCCATGAAGCTAACATAAAAATATCAGATGGCCTAATGCTTTCCTTCCTCCCTTCTCTCTGTTTTCCTTGCACTGCCGATTGCTCTCATTTAATATATATTACCTAAAATAAAACTTTCGGCTATCCAGAGCTGGAAGGTTATTTATCTACATTATAAAGTACCAGTACTGTTTTTTTTAAAAGTGCTGCTGGACACAGCTGCGCAGTGCAAGTGTTTTGCAGAGACCCCTGAATGGTGCTACCCAGCATTCTTACACTGACAGGGCTCAGTGCAGCGCTGTGCCAGTGTGCCAGTGGGCATCCTGTTCAGGCAGTACCATCAATGAGCTCATTTGCAGAAGCAGAGTTTATTAGGACTTACTGGCTTGAGCGCTCTGTCCTCTGAACACAGCTTCACTGCAGGTGGGCTGGTAGCGCTGCATCCACTCCCCAAGGCCTGGAGCACCCCAGCTCCGTCTGGGAGTCACTTCACTGCTGTGGTGCAGGTGTCTCCTTTAAGATGAACAAATAATAACAATAGTTAGGGAGTTCACATATTTCTTACAGATCTCTAAGACAAAAAATCCAAGTGGGATTTGATTGTACTCAGTAATACCAAATCCAAAGAGCTGTCAGAAGACCATCATTTTGACCCGAATGTTGCGGCCTTTAGGTTCTTTCCATATGGCAAATGCCACCCTGATCTGCACAGTCTTACTTTTACCCTGCTACCTATGATGTGATCTGCGGATGTTTGGCCTTCCACAGATGGCCTGTACCTACAAAGAGATTTGTGCAGGAAGAGATTCTGTAAGGCAGTTTACATGTTATGAGGACTATCCCTCCCTTCAGACTCAAGGGTAATCAAAATCCACATTATCTGTAAATGGACAGATGAGAAAGTGCTCAAAACCAGGTTTATATGAGAGAAAAATTATGCAAATTAACACATTTAATAGCTGCATAATTTCACACTAACAACTAAGCATTTCAAACTCCAAAATTTACTGTTCCTAGTACATAAATATAATGGCATATCATATTCACTCTTTATTGTTTCCAGCCTCTTGCAATTTTATCAGTTTGTGGCCAAGAAGAGAGCGTTTTCCTGGAAACAGAACTCTTCCTTCCAGTTCTCCCCACTGACCACACAAATTACATTGCACATTTAGTTTATATGGAGGACTTTTGTTCATCAGTCATCACAAAGAAGAAAGAGGGAAAAGAGAAGTTCTTTCCTTCTTCAGAGACTGGACTTGACCTTCCTCTTCTCTCCACCAGATTGTTTTCTGGTCTGAAAGCTGTGGGACTAAATACTGTCTGATAAATTACTAATATGCCACTTAACTAAGTCTCTTGGTCTATCTGCGAGCAATCACAGGTCTCAGTTCATAGGCTTTTCAAGTTAACAGCCTTTTTTTCCCCAGGTTGTAACTGTATTACTCCCTGAACACATTTATATGTAGGTTGAGAGCAATATAGTTAATAGTCCTTAGGAGCAACATGTAATATGCTATTGCTGCAGGCAAAATATCCAGCAAGATTACCACATGCTTCACTAGGTCCTGTTTTTCACTTCCGTTTACCTTTGGTTGCATTTTTCATGCTTACTTGATTAAGAGTCTCTGTATACATGGATCAGTCTCTTCAGCTCAAGACTTAGCTGTCCATGGATAAGTAGGTTCCACATGGCTGAGAGATACCCAGCAGCTGCCTGCCTTACCTTGCTGGATTTCAATCTACTCACATAACGACGTTACAGTTTTACAAACATACTGAAATATCAAGACACTTCCTGCCTCATTGCAATTACATATTTTTTAACATCTTGGGTGTCACATGTGCAGTCCAGGAAAACCTGGCCGAAGCAGCTGGCAAAAGCAAGCTCTCCAGGTTTGGTCTGGCAGCTCCAAGAGACCTCCTCACAAATCTTTCTCCCATTTACTCTGAAATTACAACACTGTAGTTCTGCTGATTGCAGAGGAATCCCTCATATTTATAAAAATGTAACTCATAGCAAATTTTGTCTTTTTGGGCTTAAACACAGATAAGTATTGCCTGCGTTCGCTAGTTTCAAGTCCTTTAACAGATTATGCTCCATATTCTAATATTGTGCTACAATCACACTCCCATCGAAAATTAAAAAAATTATATGCTTCATTTTTTTTCAAAACCATGTATTATTTCCAGAGTATTTCTGAAGCATAGTAACACAAAGAGGAAATACAAACACAACCATCAAGAAAACTGTAAGTGACAGTAGTTTGTGATACGGGCAAAATGGATGAAGGCAAAATGTTCAACAAAAATATTTCTGACTTGCCATTCACCCTGAAACAATTGCAATATATTGACAGTAGATAAGAAACGTGAGATCCTAAGATTTCTACGAAGTAGTACATCAACTCTCTACCCAATGGCTGTTCTGTAATTAGTGCGCCTCAGGCACTGACCCACTTTTAAAAAAATCAGAAAAAATAAAGTTATTTTCCTCCCTCCATTTCTTCAGGGCAGGAAGCATGTCAATGTTCGTAAACTATTATGTAAATGCATAGCACTACACAAATTTTGTTAACAATGAAATAATTCTATTTCTACACACAAAATCCAGATATTAAGAGTAACCCTTTTGTAGCCAAGGACTCTCTGCAGAAGCACATACCCCAGTTTAGCAGAGAGCAGACCCCACAACAGCAGCTGTATCATGTCACTCGATCTTGCAGCTTCACGAGCACATTAAGGGAGGTTTCAAAACTGGCCTTAAGAGCAACTGCTCCCGAAGCCATGGCCAGCACCACACACTTGAGGACTGCAGCTGATTTGTATATGACTGGCTCAGTCTGTCAGCAGAGGACGTGTTCTGCTATGCCAAATAATGTCCTACCTGTATTTTTGAGATGGAACAAATCACCTTCCCCTTCCCTTGTCACTTTTGTGACAGGAGAACATCTCTTTCTTTTGTCTCATTTAAATGTATAAGGAAATATTGAGTATCTTTTTATGATAAATAGAACTTACTGCATAGCAACAACTGGAGATAATATTCTGGGTTAAGAGCAGGAAATGATTCACTGGCTCCACTGAATTGTTAAAAGCATTTGACTTGCAAGTAGTCTTCATTGTGCAACTCAGAATGAGATTTTTATCCAAGCCCTGTGCCTGTAATGCTGTTCTCATTCAGGCCTCGGAAGGAGCACAAGCACAGCAGAGTTCTGTGGGCAGGGAAATGAGCAGAAGGGCTTGGCTGCTTCAAAGCGGCAGCCCAGGGCTGCTCTAGAGCATCCCAGCGACATCACCTGCCTCGTACAACCCATTGGTCAGGGACAGAGCTAGCTACAAACAATGCATTATCTTCTTCAAAACTGAAATTCTAGAATGGAACGTATGTTTACAGGAAATGTGTACATACCTTTCTAAATGTTCTGGTACTTTAAGGTTTGGTGAGATACCAAAAACTTAGTGGCAACACAGAATATTGAAGAACTCACAGGTCTAACACGGGCTCAAGTCATGTTTCTAGCTAATAGGTTCAGTTTGGACTCAAAGTTGAGCCAAGGGGATTTCCACCATCTGTTTCTTTCCTATAATTTTTAGTTTCAGACCCATTGATTAGGTGCCCATTTTGCAACAACTCTAATACATAATCACATTTATTGCTTTTGTTGGGTGAAGACATTAAGTTTGAAGTTTTTATTCCAAATAATGGAAAATATGAAATTATGCATTTGGTAGTGCATGCATCAGAATTTAAAGTCCTAAAAAGGATTAAATCAAAGCTTAATTACTCAGATTAGGAATGAGACATACTGTATAATTATCAATCCTTGCTGAAAAAATAAAAAATCAATCATGACATTTATCCACAACTTTACAAATCTATTAAAGCTTCTGCAAAACCCCAAGAAATTTTATACTTAAAAAATAAACAACAAAACCTGATACCCGATTTCATGTTTCATAACAATGACCTAGACAATATGCTGATTTAGTCTTATTATATCAGAGTACCATATTTCTATGATCTCTCAAGTGTATCTAGATTCAGTGATGGTACTGGCTTCTCAATGTACTCCTGCACATTTCCTAGGACCTAATGATAGGGTAAGTTAATTTATATAAATTCTAGTAAGCTATATAAGTTATATAAATACTAATCCACACCTTTTTCCTGCACAAATGCTTTTTCCCATCCACACCAGAGGGGAAAATGTTGTATTTTTAGCAGTGAAAAACTGCATTCCCACTAGCATTTAGGAACATTACTATGTACTATGCTAGTTTCAAGCCAGAATCCTGAGCAGCCAGCTTCTACGAGATAGTTTTAAATAGGCTGGAGGTCATTATGTCACTTGAACCATCACTTCTCACTAGAAAAAGACATTTATTCTTTTCATATTAATTATATTTATTCTTGGCATTATAAACACTGGCATTTGACCTGTTCCAAACTGACATTTGTATGGAACAGAATGCAAGCAGGTCCTCACTTTATCAAGGAAAACTAACTGCCAACAGCTGATGCAGATTTAGATTATGGTACGAACAAGAGTACCAGTGTTATCAATCTGCCTGAAAAACATCAACAGAAGATATTTTAACAGCACTTTCAACTTAACTCCACTCCTTTGTTATAAAAATCTACTGAGAGTATATTATAAGGCCATTTGACCGATCTACTATATTTAGAGATATTAAATGCTCCACCACATTGACCAAATCAGGAAACTGAGATGCTAAGAATTTAAAAATCACATCCATGCTTGCTACTTCAACACTGCTCTGGTTCAGACCATGTATTTTGTAGCACTTTTTAGATCATAATACTAACTTTACAATTAATCAATTAAACTAATGACAGAGGAAGAAGTTATAAAAGATCATGTTACACGTATTGATTTAAGAAAATATATGACAGAGGTATGTAAGGAAACGAAAGATATGAAACAAAACGCACCATCTCATCATAAATTATCTGAGAGTTAATGAGAACGGGAAGTAATTATTAAAACAGACCCATTTTTTTTTAATATAATACATAATTAACACGTGGAACTCATTGCTTCCAGGCATCATTTAATGAAGACATTTATGAGGTTGGGGGTTTTTAAGCTTTGTGTGAGTAATAAGAAATTTCATATTTTATCCAGAAGGTATATTCTGCTCCAAGCTAAAGACCAGGGATATCATTTGAAAGCCAAGACTCAAAAAACAGATCGGACACTTTAGGTTTATAAACCACTAAACCATGAATATGCTAATGTGCACTGTATCATTAGAAGTCACAAACTGATGCATTCACAGAATTTATCATTGTATTAAAAACACTCCTACATTAGATTGGGAGCAAATGACAAATTATGGCTCGCTCCAAAAGTAGAGTATTTATAGGCTGCATGTGTCGAGACCTAGAAATACCAATGATAAACCTCAACCTTGTTGTCTGAAGTACGGCACCTTAGAAAGCATTAAGAGGAGCTTAAATGGATGAGATCAAAGAAAACTTCAATGGCAAT